TAAACAAATCCGAATTGCACTATGAACATTTTACGGGCGACAAAATCATAGTCCATCCTAGCGATTAATTCGCATAACTATGAATGATAATGCGCATATGCAGAAATGTCGTACATTGCACACTAGGGTGGTCTAAAAATGCATGTGTAAAAGTAAAGTAGCAAGTTTAATGTTCTCACCCCACTGGGTGATGGGGACACCCTTATCAAAAAATATTTACGAAAAAAAAATACATATACATAATATACATGGAAAACTGTGAGCGCTTTGAGCGACCTCAAAATATTTTTTGATCTCAAATTAAAAAAAAAAAATTAGCATGTTTTTTCCGGCATAGAACAATGCTAGGGGTGAGAGCATCAAAATTTTGACTTTTCTTTTTTTTTTTTTACCACAATAGTGCACAGATCTATTCTGCACGTTACAGATGATTTTGCAACCGGAAAGTTTTATTACCAAAAAATGTTACCACTTCTTGTCACCGCTATTCTAGGTATATTGATGTGAAGCAGTGAAAATACGCAGCAATTCAGCTACGAAGATTTGTAGAAATTCTGGTACTGCATATTTCAAGGGGCAATTTTTTGTTACCAGCTTATGAGATGATAACAAAATTTAGAAAATTATATAAAAAAAATTTGATTTCAAAATAAAAAAATAGGGGTATATTTTTCTCGGTATAGAACAATTTTAGGGGGTGAGAGCATAGAAATTCTGACTTTACTTTTTCGTATGCATTTTTGGACCACCCTAATGTATACACATCAATTATAACACTATTAATATATACATACATACACAGTTCGGCAATATCTGGGATTTTGGACCGAGGCAACGAGCTCCGGTCCATACCAAAGCAACAGTAGAGATGGGTGAAGGCAGCCTTGGTGATGTTCTGCTGCAGAACCCCGGAACCCAATATCGCTGGCGCTGTACATGGCCGCCGTTGCAAAGACAGGCTTCGCCTATTCTGTGGCTAGGTTGGAGGTTGTGAACTGTAAGGATATTCCAGTCAGACCCAGAACAATGGCATGGGTTCCCTCGACAACTTCTGCACCGGCGAGCATTCTAAATATGCTTAAAGTGATGAATCCAGCTCTTCTGACGAGTGATTGGAGGGGTGGAGGATGCTGTTGGCCCTTCAAGACAAGTGGTTTTATCCCTAAATAAGATGTGACTTCAGCTCCTGGAGAGGAGGTCAAGTGTTTTATGGCCCCGATGAGGCCATACTTAGAGTGTATCGTAGGGACGCTCGTCGCGCTGAGAGCAACGACTCATCACAATCGAACTATGCATCGACAATGCATAGGGTGTTTGCGGAGGAGGAACTGGTTTACAGAGACGGGGAGTGCAGGTCAACCTCCACAGGTCTAAAGCAGCCTCGGCAGCTCTTCTATGTCGTCTGTCCAAAGGCGATGTTGGTTTGGCACTAATCCAATGACCGTGGGCTTTCAACTGATGGGTCTATGGATTGGGTGCCACGGGTTTCGAGCTGTTCGCAGAGCGTGGTAAGGTAAAATTAGAGCCTGCATTTTGGCAAAAGTGGATTAAAAAATCTTTCTTTTACCTAATTATAGTGAAGGTGACGTCGCGACAACACTTTTGGAGCTGGAGAGAACATCCATCTTGCTGGTTTCGGCCTACATGCCCTACGACTCGGAGCACCCTCCTCAATCAACAGTGCAGAACTTTGAGGTATTTTTCGTTGCATACGCCGATTACAGTGCAATCGCATTGATGGAAAAGTTTCCGCAAACGCTATGTGAGCTACTGCAGCGAACGCTTCGAGGTGTATCCAAGTTGTCCACCCGCTGTGGCCTAAGCGTCAGCTCAAGCAAAATGGACCTCGTCTTCTTTACGAGAAGTTACAAAAGGACTTCGGTTAGTCCACCGGAGCTAAACAAAGTCCGGTTAAGACTTGCTACAAAAGCCAAATTTCTAGGCGTTATTTTAGCTGAACTGTACCCCTCTATACTAGTAAAAGGGCCATATGCAAGAGATGGGGCCTCAGTCCCCGGATTTGTCGATGGATATTTATAGCAGTCGTATGACCAATCCTCTAGTATGGAGTGGTATGGTATGTAGTAGTATGATGTATGGTATGTATGGTAGTATGGTGTAGTATGGAGTAGTATGGTGGCCGTATTAGATAAAGGTCCAGTATAAGCGGAACGCTCAGAACCACGCCAAACGATGGGCTGAATGCTTTTTTTAGCTCGCTGCTCGCTGCTCTTTGCTTAAGCCCAGGGACACTCTTGTATATTAAATAAATTTTGCTTCAATCCGAACAGCACAGACCGCTGCGCTTCAATATCGGTTCCGGAAAGCAACTTTAGCACAAGAATTCCAAGCAGGGAGGAATGGAAGAAGATTTCAACACTCCACCTGATGGTATTGACATCTACACAGTTGGCTTGAAACTCGACGGTAAGGTAAGAGGGGGCATTCTCACACGAAACCATCCTGAAGTTTCAGCTATCATGGAGGCTGCTGAGAATCTTGGCACCGAAATTATGGGAAGGGACATCTTCATTTTTAGTGACAGCCAGGCTGCAATCAAACCTCTGAGCTCTTTCGCGTTTTATTAAAAGATTGAGCTGGACTGCTACCTATCTCTATAGCAGATGGCCAAGCAGAACATACTACACCTCACTTGGGTCTCTCGTCAAAGGAGCATGCAAGGGCAACTGCATGGCAGATCAACTTGCAAGGCAAGGCACAACCAAGCAGATTCTTCTTAGTAAATAACACATTCGTATGTTTGAAAACCAATTTCAGCAGCCGGATTCCAACATTCGCTATCGCTAATTTTGATCGCCAAAAATCTACAAACAAAAAAAAAAAAAAAAAAAATAGCAAGTGCGCCTAAAAACATGCGACAGCTATTTGCTTGTCCTTAATGCTGCCCGTTGAGAAATTAACAATTTTCAGTAGTATGTTTATGTGCACATTTTTTAGCGTACCTACAGCATTACGCTTTCTTCCCAAAATATATATTTTGCTCCCAGTACATAGATGAGTCTTCGCGTGTTGAGTATTAAAAATTTTATTTACCGCCAAGACATTTCCGTACTGCGTTGCTACCTCTCCGTGTGGCAAACAATTATGAGTTACTTTAGCGGATAACAGTGTTTATTCGCAAGCAAATTTTGTACCACTTGTAAACTAAGAACTGTAAACTGCATTAATTAAAATCAAATTTGTTATAATTACTTCATTGTGTAATGCCAAGCGCAACAGGATCAACTACTATTGCTATGAAAGCGCTTTTGTAATCCCTTTAGATCATAATTTCAAAATTCCGCCATTGAATAAAGCACACCATTGCATAGTTAGGCCACCTACCGCATGACGTAAATATAATTTTCTAGATAGATTACCGATACCCAACTGCCGCTCCGCTCTCTGCAGCATCCAACGAAATTCTATTCAAAGTTTGCCAAGGGCTCA